ATGATAACCATTTCTTCTAAGCTGTTGCCCAAATTGTCACTTCTCTGCTTCATGCAACTATGAGGGAATCAGCTCCAGAAATGTAGCAGTCTGCTACAGCACAAGTGAAAACATTTTTCTTTTGCTTCTCTGCTCCACTTCACTTTGGAGTTTTATCTTCCCTTTGCCAAAGAAGTTCTTAAGTGTATATCATTGAACAGAATTATTTGGGAGTGAGGAATCCAGGAAAATGGCAGCCACTACGAGTGTGGAAAATGCCAGCTGACAACTGAATAAGCATAGGCTTTATATATGTCTTCTTAGGAGGATAGGTTATTTTCAGGGAAAATTTTTCAGCCTGTTAATTGGTAAAATTTCAATCACCAAGATTGAAAATCCTTTGAGATTGACTGGATTCCTGCTTGGGGATTGGTTGATTTTGAGCTCAGGTATTGGTTGGATTTTTCCCCAGGTGCTCAGGGATACAGTTTGTTTCTTTGCCTTTGGTTTCAGGGCCAAAGTGTGTTTCTTTCACTGGCTCTTTTTTAACCATTTTGCTCTTATTTCGGAGTGTGTTTCTTAGGCTAAGGTTTCAGGGACACATCTTGTTTCTTTCACTGGATCTGCTTCCTGGGTCAGGGTGTGTTTATTTTCTGGCCCTTTTACACTACACATAAGGTTTCATAAGTTTATAAATTCCTTTTTTCCATGAGTGTGCTGGACCAACAATATAAAAATGGACATCACAATGCTTGAATATATTGTTGTCACTATCAATTTTCTTCTTCAAAATAATTACTATTGTATAACTGATTGGGAGTGTGATGGCTAAAGATCCGACCAAATACTTGATCATGAGAAGCACTTATTATCTTTATCAGGTACTGAAAAATGATTGTAACTTGTAAAGGCTTGAACAGATTGATAGTGCACAGTTTTCTCTTTTAAAAGGTGTAAAATTAAACCAAACTGACTGCATTTATAGTTTCAATGCTTAATGGTTTTTGTAATGATTCCAAAAACTCCTGATACACACAAAAGCTTTACCTTACTGATTACATTAAAACACTTTGTCACAAGTATGTATTCTTTTATGTGTTTGAAGAATAATTTGACTTGCAAAAGCCTTTCCACACTGATTACATTCATAGGGTTTCTTTCCGGTATGTGTTGGTTCATGCATTTGAAGATGACTGCCGAACAAATGCTTTACCACACTGATTATATTCATAGGGCTTCTCTCCAGTATGTATTATTTTATGACTTTGAAGATGACTATGCTGTGCAAATGCTTTACCACGCCGATTACATTCATAAGGTTTCTCTCCACTATGTGTTCTTTTATGCACATGAAGGGAACTGAGATCAGCAAAGCCTTTACCACAGTGATTGCATTCATATGGTTTCTCCCCAGTATGTGTTCTTTTATGCTTTAGAAGACAGCTGTGATATGTAAAGGCTTTACCACACTGATTATATTCATAGGGTTTCTCTCCAGTATGTGTTATTTTATGTCTTTGAAGATGACTATATTGTGCAAAAGCTTTACCACACTGATTATATTCATAGGGTTTCTCTCCAGTATGTGTTATTTTATGTCTTTGAAGATGACTATATTGTGCAAAAGCTTTACCACACTGATTATATTCATAGGGTTTCTCTCCAGTATGTGTTATTTTATGTCTTTGAAGATGACTATATTGTGCAAAAGCTTTACCACACTGATTACATTCATAGGGTTTCTCTCCAGTATGCGTTCTTTTATGTACACGAAGGGCGCTTGGATCAGCAAAGCCTTTACCACAGTGATTGCATTCATATGGTTTCTCCCCAGTATGTGTTCTTTTATGCTTTAGAAGACAGCTGTGATATGTAAAGGCTTTACCACACTGATTACATAGATAGGGTTTCTCCCCAGTATGTGTTCTTTTATGCTTTAGAAGACAGCTGTGATATGTAAAGGCTTTACCACAGTGATTGCATTCATATGGTTTCTCCCCAGTATGTGTTCTTTTATGCTTTAGAAGACAGCTGTGATATGTAAAGGCTTTACCACACTGATTACATAGATAGGGTTTCTCCCCAGTATGTGTTCTTTTATGCACACGAAGAGAACTAGGATCAGCAAAGCCTTTACCACACTGCGTACATTCATAGGGTTTCTCTCCAGTATGTGTTATTTATGTCTTTGAAGATGACTATGTTGTGCAAAAGCTTTACCACACTGATTACATTCATAGTGTTTCTCTCCAGTATGTGTTCTTTTATGGCCTTCAATTTGAATGTGCTTAGAAAAGGCTTTACCACATTGAATACTTTCATAGGTTTTCTTCCCAGTATGTGTGCTTTTATGTTTTTGAAAATTACTGTGTGTAGCTAATACTTTACAACAGTGAATACATTCATGGGGTTTCTCTCCAGTGTATGTTTTTTTATGCCTTTGAAGATGACTGTTATATGCAAAGGCTTTAACATATTCTGTATACACAGAAGACTTCTCTCCAATTTGGTTGGTTTCATGCCTGAAAGGAAAATGAGCATGTGTAAATGCTTTACCATATTCAACATGATGTTGAATCTTGGTGCCTGTATGAAATATTATCACATTTTTTTCAATTATATAGAAGAATCAGATATTACAATCTTATCACTGTGTAAACACTCAAGTTTTCCCCCACTTTAAGGATTGCTTTGTGTCTTTGAAGACACTTGTGAAGGTTTAATCTTTTGTTTTATGATTCTCATTTTCAGAACCTTTTTCTACAGGAGATTTTTCACATATTGAAGAGAACTGGAAAAATTCAGAGCTTTATCACATTGTATATTTTAATTTTCCTACACTTTGAGTCATACAATATTTTATAATAAACTAGAACAAACACAAGTATTTACACAGTCATAGAGTCATAGGGCTTTTCTACAGAGTGAGCTTGGTGTCTTGTCAATGAAGTAGGAACACAAATTACTTGTACACTTAAATCAAATTCCACAAGTATGCTCAAAATGGGGACTACTACATGACTTTGAAATATTCTGCAATAGAGGTATAAAATGTTCTACATATACCTTTGCTGATATGGCTTGTATCATGCCTAATACATGATATACATAATAATGTAAAGGTTACAAAAAATAGTCTTCTTCATTTAATTCAGTTTGACTTTCTGTTCCTTATAGACATGTATTAG